ATATATATATATATAACTGTCCTCTCAGTGAAAGCTCAACACCACTTTTCGTTTGGGCAAATAACACTATGACAGCAATAGTTTTATCTTAAAAATAATTAAGCGTCAGCATACCATTTTTGCCAAATCTCTACAGTTTCCCGGTTTAATTTAAGCTAATTAAACTAATCAATTATTTTTTATTACAATTTTTTATTAGTTAAACCCCCTTACGAGTTCAAAAGAATTTAACCTGATAATCTTATGGTGATAAGGTTTTAAATGCAAAGATTGTAAATTAAACGCTTACACGAAGGATGAAATAGATGAGAAAGTACGTGTGAATAACTAGATCGGTCCAGTTTAGAACAGAAAGTCCCTTCGTAAGACACAGGCCTTGTATTAGAAGTGGCGGTCGTCCCTCCATATAACTGTCAACAAATTACTCATTATTTGGAATAATTTTAGAAATAAACTCGGAATAAATAAAAACAAATATAATACGAAATAAGCCTACCGTATTACATCTGGGAGGGTCTCTATCTCGCTCAGACTGAAAATAATCAATAAAAAAGACAAAAATTAACTTAAATTGAAAGTTAATTTAAAAAAAATTGATACTGCTAAAACATTTGCTTATGCTGTTTTAATACAACGAGATAATGACGCTAATTATCGGGTTTGGTGATGAGTAATCAAGATTAAGGCTTCAATATGTATATTAGAGTGGTTAAGTTCATAACTTCGATTTGTAATTAAATGAGAATAAATTCAATTAAAATAAAAAACGTAGGCTAAAATTAATAATTTAATAAAGCCTTACAAGATTGTTCCGATAATGTATATAATCCAGCTCATTGTGCAAAGCATTACGTAGATAACGAGCTGAAAGACAAAATAAGTGACGATTGGAGATTAGTTGAAACATGCAAAAAAATCAATGTTTCCAGTAAATAAATTAAATTCACTTCCATTGCAACAAGAAATGCAGTATGGATATATCTTCCGCTGGGCAAAGTACCGTTTACTTCCATTCCATCGCTGACTCAAGGTCTACCCCCGTTGTTTCACTGTAATATCGAATCTATATTATTTAAGTCCTCTTAAAATATATTGCTATAACAACTCTGATTCGCCCACTGCTTTGTAACTAGGGTAAAAAATGATTTTCTTTAAAATTTCATATGAAAAACTATTTTTTTTACAAATAAGTGGAGATATTTATAACTTTTCAATGTGTGAGGGGAATTTAAATACAGTGTAGTAAATTAGAAGAAACACTTTACTGCATTTACACTTCGACTCTGGTTTTATCCTTGTTGTACCTTGATTCCACTGGTATTTACAGGAACCTAGTTAAGTAAATATCAAATAATTGTTCCCTATTCTGAGTAGATTTATATTTGTGGAACTCAGAGTCTAAAGACAAATCGGCCAATTTAGATGACTGGTCGACCAGCTATATCTACGTCTCTCCTCTTACCAACTAAGATGGCTGCAGACCATAAGAGCTTACATGAATTCAAACGATAAAGATTAAGTTTTCTTAAAATTATTCCCCTTTGAGGTTACGAGAAGCGTTGTGCTGACTATATTACTATTTATATTCATCTTTGACAGACTAAATTCCATGATTTCCGGAGCAGAAGAGATCCAAATATCTCTTATCAGTGACAGGAATGACATACAGATTTTTGGTACATGACACTTAGCGTTCACGTAGTTCCAAACGAAATTTGTTAATAGTTCTTTATCCAGTTATTGCACAATTTTTAATATTCATAGTATATATTATTATTAAAAAGACAATTCAGCCAATGTTCTTAATTAACGACGCTAGACCTGGGAAATAAGCGTTAGAAGGAGTTAGATTTGGTATCAAATTAGCCGATAATTTAGTCATTTACGGGATGCCAAATAATACTATTATTATTACTATCATATCACATGATTCATCAACGTATTTAAAATAAATAATATTCCAATCAATACCATCTTTCTGTTTTTCTATGTGGACTTTTCAGCCAAAGCGTATTGGGACACGGCAATTATATTACATATTTATTATTCATTTCCTTTCAACAATGCTGGACAGAAATCGGCTTATAAGTATTGTTATAGATAGGGCCTTAATGGTGCATAACAAAGCAATTGAACAAATTTCCACATAAAAAACCCCAGATGAATAATCGTTCGAAAACGGGGTGTTCGGTGTAATTAACTATAGTAGATAAAATCAAATTATGAAAATTTTGCAAGTTTTTTATTAATTGACTAATTCTATTAGTATTTATTGAGTTCACTGGAGTCTATGACAAAACAGAGGAAAAATAAATGAAGAGTTTCTTCAGATTGGTCGTTTCTACTACCACTAAAATGAATGAAAGAGGGTGATTCGAAAAGATGCTCTTAGAAGAGAAGCAGTAATTGAAGGTGATGACAAATTTACTTTATCGCCTTAATTTTTTTATATCCGGGAGTACACTTTCTCTATTTTCTTATAATTTGATAGCCAAATACGCAATAAAATTGTCAACATAAGAACCTTGGAATCTGTTCATGAGCTACTCATAAAAGTTTCCAGACAACCGTGCCTAACAAGGTGGTCATTTCTGTTTCATTTCGAGAAAAAAATGCAATTATGTTGGTAAGGTGGAGTTTAGGTCAACTGAATGTCAAAACTCTACACGTAGACATTCTTTGAGCAGTTAAGATACTGACTGTTGCTGCTAATTTCCCTTCTATGCAATTTGTTGGCGAAATAGTAGAATAGAATTATTGCTTTCAATCTAGCAGATTTCAGTCGTATTGATCTCAAGGAAGCGAAAATGTCATGCCTCTATTAGCGGTGGTTAGAGAAAACTAATAAATATTGATTTTATTTGCTCCTCATTGAGCGAGGAGTTTATCGATATTGACCAATTGAATAAATATCTATTTGCAGTGGTTGGTCATATAAAAGCCAAAAATTGTGGTTATTCTTTACAGATTGCGAGCGTTAATTATTTTAATCAAGAACACAAATTACCAAAATAAAAAGAACATGAAAAATTATTTAAAGGTTAAGATCATTTTAAAAAAGACCGATAAACACTATGAGTGTTCAACTGGCAAAATAATTTTATTTTAAAGTTGAGGAAAACTGTAAGAAGGCAACCAAATAAGTTGGAAAATTCCTACTTCTTATGCAATATATTTTTTAAAATCTCACCAGAATTCTTCCAGATCGATAAGATACTGAGGTCATTTGTTCACAAAGGAATCGAATTCTCTGATTTAGGCTTCCATGCACTCTTCCAAATAACTCGCTTTGTTTAGGCCTGAACTTCACGGATTTTTTCTTTGAATTTCCTGTGGAAGTATCAGCATCAAGAGTGGGGAAGCTTTCGAGCTTCAAGGATACAAAATGTTCTCCTGGTTTCTCACCGTTCGTTTTTTTCAAACTCCTCAAGTCATTCCTGTCCTCATTCTCACTTTGTTTACCCGTGTGGCTAGAGTTTGAAAATTCAAAAGGCACATCTGTTGTAGCAGCCATGCTAGGAAGCGTCCAGTCGTCTGTATCACCAAATTGCATTTCCTCAAGCCATTGATTTCGTTGTCGGTGGAAGGGATCATCTTCACTAAAGTCAAAATCCGGATCAATATCTACATCACAATCATTTTGGTCAATTCCACGAAAGATGTTCGGATAAGCCATTGATTGAGGGGTCGGTTCAGGACGGAATCGTTTGAGTAGATGCTTAACTAACAGGTAAACAATATTCACAAAGTAGATCGATGATGAAAGAGCAAGTGGAAACCACCACTTGAGTTTTGATGTAGGACAATCATCAATCCAGTGAACAGAAGGAGGGGAAGAGTCTGAATTTGGCATAGTGCTCACGAATGCCTCCGTTTCAGTAGTCATCGTGATCAAATGCTCTACTAGTACATTTGAACTCCCGCTTTAGTGAACGTGCTTGCCACAATTGCACATAGGATCCCTGTTTACAAAGAGATTTTGTTTTAACCAGTAGCGTTCGAGTGCGTGCCACAGACGCACAGATTGTCCTTCTGTGTGTGTATGTGTTTAGCTCTTGGTCTCTTGGTCGGCCACCTTTCTCACCTCACTCCCTCGCTGTGTAGTATTTATGGTGGCAACTTAGCAGGTTGTGGCTCTCGCTGCTTTTGTATGTGTATTTACAGGACGATTTGTAGGGGTTTGTTTACAATAGATGGTGGCTCCAAGCGATAGATACATATAGCTTGCCCAAAGTGATCTCAACTCTAGTTTCACTAATTCAAACTGATTAAATAAAAGGTAAAACCTGGGTTTTCATTGTTTCTTCACATTATTTCAATAAATAAAACAGAGGTCTTAACGAAATATAAATGATTTCAGACAGATTTCTCGAGCCTGACTTGTGAAATTCGTCGAATAGCAATAGTTCGCACCACAGATGGAAATCCTCTTTCTGCTCTTTCGTGGTAAGCTGGCTGAGAGATTATGCTCCCTAAATCAAGGTGAAAATTGTTTGAAATAATGACAATCTATTTGCCACCGAGTAGCTACAGCAGTATCCAACGTTTATTTCAGCGAGCTTATATTACTATTTCACTTTCAGTTGCAAAAATAATTATGCCGTTGCATTATATGCAAGACAAGCAGATTTGACTGTTAAAATGGTTTCAATATTAGTGTCCAAGAGCAACACTGGAGATTAGAGGGGTAATAATTCACTCTTCAAGTCAAAAGGCGTATTCACTGGAAATGTAACTTAATTTTATTAAACGAAATAGAAAATCAGTAATCAGTGGATTGCTTTTGAATTAACCCACTTATAACCCGATATGACTCAGTAGAAAGGTATTTGATAGCTTTCATATAATTCAAAAGCAAATAACAATGATTGTCTTGATAGAGTATTTAAAAGGGCCTTTGCGCAAATTACTCGAAATGTAATTTGATTGTTATGCGAAGCCAGAATGGAGACATATCGATCCCTATCAAACGAAGATAAAATATCACTAGATTTCAAAAGTCGTCTTACAATTTGCACAAAACTTTGATATATCATGAAACTAGAAGAATCAATAAAATTTAGGCAGATTTAGTCAAAAGTGTTATATGAGAATACTTGCAAAGACACAAATATACTATATAGCAATTAACGTAAGAAATTGCAAACACTGGAAATATTACATTAATTCAGAAAATATTAGAATTAAAGCTCCCTAATTCACGATTAATTTTCAGACGCGGTTCTAAAGGAAGGATCCAACTTTGTTTTTTAAGTCGATTTCAAATTTTAGGAATTAAGTGGCTGTAAATGAATAAAACGAATTTGAGATTCTAAATTCACTGTGCTTGTTATAGATTTCAAATAGATTGTAATATCAAATAAAACATAATTTGCTAAAAGCTAAATAAAATAAAAATGATAAATTCTTTTCTTTAAAGGCTAATAAATTAAACTTTAAGTTATATACAATAGGAGAAAATAAAGAACACAAATAGCAATAAAATAATAACATAGGATACTTTTAATGAAAATAAGCATCAAGATTAAAATGTTTGACACAAGGATAGATAGTATGAAAATATTAAGTTATTTCGTTTGAATCACTGAATATACTTTTCCTTACATGTAATCAACGATTTAAGTCAAGGTCAAATTGACAAAAATTTGTCTTCGGATTGAAACCCGTAAGATATTATGGCAGGTAAGTTACCCATAATCTAAGCAAAATATATGACTGGTTATGAAGCACATTTTAATTGTTTAGGTGCTATATTTCAAAGTTAATACTAACTTCTTCAGTTGCTTTTTGCGAATCACGACTTGCTTTCAATTATAGATTACAATTTTAAAACATTATATTTATTTTATATTCTCAATTATGCTCTTATCTGCATTAAAAAACTTTCTTAAAATCTTAATTGCATAACTTGAATAGATGGAAATCGGCGTTAAGATGCCACCATCCTAATGTCATACTCCTTATTTCGGCGCAGTTCAATTACAATACCAACTAACACTGCGACCTCAAACGGTCCTCTGCTCGCGTCTGCTTCGCCTCCCACTCGATCATCAAAGCATTTTCCAATAATGTCAAAACCATTCTCATCCAACTCTTATATTCGTGGTCGGGGTTCTTTCACCGAAAGAAAACCTCCCCATGTCATCCTGCCAATAACTCCAACACCTCCGCCACTACCACCTCCGCCTTCTAATCCTCAGTTAGCACCATTAAAGCCTCGATCCAGATCTCAGCAATGGTCGTCTTCAAAGGCTTTTGGAATAGCCGGACTTGAAAAGTTGCCCGGTTAGTAACTTATCTTGTCCGCATGCTACTGAAATAGTCAATGTTATCTAAAGTAACGAAGTTAACAATTGCAGGTCATTTTTAGAAAATATGTCCACGTGCGTCAAGCTAAAGATAAATTGTAGGATTTCTAACATATATTAATCTATTATCAGCATTTATTCATTTTGAGCATATACAGCTTAAGATTTGATTAAACATAAATTACCACTTTCGTTCAGCATTTTTCATTTACTGATGCGAAAATTTTTTCTAAAATATCTGTGAGATCACGTCTAAGCAAGCATTTTTTTAAAAAAATTTGTTGACATGTTCAACCAAATCGCTTTTGCACTCATTGCCTACTAAGTCCCACTAACAATGTGTTTGATGAGTTCATAAGTAAATAAGTTAATTTTGCATTAAGATGCTGAAAAGTCAACCGTTGCATTGCTAGCCAAAAGTCTATATTTTTATTTTGAATTTACTTATTTGCAAAAGTGTTTCGTTTTCAATATTACGTTTCAATAAAGTGACCTTTGGTGCTCTTACTGGCTCCACTGTGGTCTAAACTCTTAGTTAGTTTATAAACTTTTAAGTCTATATTTTGTTATGGCATTATACACCACTGAACCCATGTTTCATTGATACCCATTCACGCTTATTAAAAACGAACACTTTGAATATTTTCTATATAAATATGGATCAGGCAATAATTTCCTTCGAATGTTCACTTTTCTCAACTAATTTTAACGTCTACTAGGATTCGGCTGATTAGATTAATACTACCAATATAATCACGAATTTGAGTTTAATCCGTTTTAAGTAGTTCTACACGCAAGTATGAACCTTCGAAGAAAATATTTTTTTATAAAGTTTTGTTTAGTAAAGCACTAACATCTATCTCTGTGGTCGTCAATGATGATAAGGAGGAGGAGGAGGTAGATGTTTATAAGGTGATTTTACGCAACAAGCGAAAGGCGAGTGTGAGGGTGAGGGTGAGAGAGCGAGGGAGGAAGGGAGGGAGGGAGAGAGAGAGAGGTATATGCAGTTGAAATGTCCAGGTTGGGAAAGGGCCTAAGCCTAATGGTTGTGTTTATGCGTGCAGCAAGGGACTGCCATTTGTCTTTGTGGCCAGCACCCACCACCACCACCATCACTGCAGCTGTTAGGCTTGGCAGCCACAGCCATCATCGGTAGACACATAGCAACCCCCCCCCCGCCCCCCTCCTTACCCAATTGGATTCATCTTCCTCCTATTCAATCTTGCACCACTTTCTTCTTTTCCCTCTCCTCTCTCCCCTCCTCACAGGAATATACATTCTTTTGGAAATTCAGTTCTTCAATAGTGCACTTGGCTGTTTCTGGCTGTTTCTTTGTTTGATATTGATTTTCGATACATTGGATGGGTACAAGAAGGAAATTACCTGGGCATAAAAGTTCACTATAGCGCATGAGAGGTCATAAAAGTTGTCATAATTCCCGATCGCTTAGTTCTTTTAAAATTAAAAAAAGGGAAGAGAAAATGAATTTGAATATGGGATTTATAACGGGCCCTATTTCGCATTACTGCCACTTTGTCTCAAAAGGGTTTTCTTGGTTCTTTGGTTGGTTGAAGTTTCATATCGAGAGTCACTCGACAGCAGTCACAATGAACGTTATCCTTCAAGTTCTGCTCTCCACAAGCTGCTTCAAGCTCGAGTGATAGTAGAAAAGCCATCACGAATTGATTCCGTTTACAGGTTGCGTTAGTTAAACTGTTTGCGCTACCTGACTTTACAGTTCAAGATTGAGCATGGATTAGCTTTCTCCTCCTAACTACTTTATTTGCTATCTGCCAAAGAGCTGAGGACGATTGAATTGTGAGCACTAACCTTTGATTTCAGCTGAAGCTGATATGAGAGTGAGTCAAAAAGTTCTTGGACAAATGCCATAAATTTAAATGGACTAAAGATTCACGAGTTTTACGGAGTACCGTAAGAAATGTAGTCCAAAAGTGGGAAGTTAGAGGGCGGGTCAAAAACCTATCAGTAAAGTGCTATAATTTTAAATAGAAGTTCAAACATGTTCTTAGAGCGCCTTCAAAACTTGCATACAACTGGCCGATTACTTTATATAAGGTCAGAAACAAGACTGGTTGCAATTTTTCAACCTTTCAAGTGGCAAATTTTGTGATCAGAGCTAACATAACGTTTTAATTAAACTAAAATGGAAATCTCTTCAGATCATAGAAGCTTTACATTAAGTGTAAAGGGGGGGGGGCACTGAACCATGTAAGGCAGTCACTTATGATTGGATTAAACGTCTTCAAGAGGGAGGAGCGCAACTTGATGACAACCCAAGAGGAGAGCGACCCACCACAGCAAGAAATGAAGAAAACATCTCTCGTGTGCAGAAACTAGCGCAGGCATATGATCGTCGAAGTCCCGTTGAGGAAGTTGGTTATGAGGTATGCTTTGCCCACGCGTCCGTATTTTCAATTCCCACTGAAAATCTTGGCTTGAGCAAGGCGTCGGTGGGCACGGTGGATTCCAAAAGCGCTTGCAGGAAGAACTATAACTGATCCAAAGAGCTGAACTTTCTTTACCAAGTTTGGTAAAGATAGAAGCAAATGAGGATGATTTTTAAGCGCTACATTAACGGAGATGAAGGCTGGATCTACCAATTTGACCCAGAAAGCGAAATTCAATCAAAAGAGTGTCATTCAAAGAGGTTATCTGGGTCTGTCAAGTCCAAAGCTGAAAGGTCCGTTCAGGAGGTCATGGCCACCATTTTTCAGGATTGCCAAAAAAGTGTGCTACGATCGATTTTCTAGAAGCACAAAAAACCGTAACCTCAAGTTATTACAAATGCGTTTGGAGGAAGTTGAAGACAGCGCTCCTAACAAAATGGAGCAGGAAACTGCACAAGGAAGTTTTGTTTCACTAAAACAATGCCTATGCACATTCTTTAAGAGCTGTCAGGTTCTTTTTGAGCGAATTTCGAATTTCTACTCCCGGCAGACTAAGTCCAGACTTATCTATCTTATACTTTGTTTTTGTTTCCAAAACTAAAGCAACATCTTAAAGACATTCTATTTACGTCTTCGGATAAACCGTAAAAGCATGCAATTTCATGGTGCCAGTAGCAGCTCAAATGGCAGGCGTTCTGATAGTTATCATTAGCCCTTTAGTTGACTTCAGGCTTCACAGAGGAGAAGGAACATCAAAGTGGAAAAAAAGTCGAGAGAGGGGGGGAACAGAAGAGTGCCTCAAAGAGGAAGGTAGAAAAAAGGTAAGATGAGTACTGTGAAGGGATCGAATATGACATACAGAGGGGTCACAGTAGTTTGAGGTCAGAAGTCAACTGCCAGGTAATAGACTTTTTTGCCGTATGAATATACGTTGTCCAGGATGCACCACATGGAGGTAAGTCTATCGCACACCCCAATAGGTGGAAATATAGATTACAGCAGTGTATAGACAACCATAGAGACTAGGCAGAAATATGAATGTAATCATTTGTTAAATAAACAAATTATGGAATCTGTCTGAGAACTTTTTGACTCTCCCTTGTCTAGCAATGAAATGAAACTTTTAGTCTATTTGGACTTTCAATGAATCCAGATTGGTGATGCTTAGCCTCACTAATTTGTTTACTTATTTTTAAATTCACACGTATTGTTAATAAAATTATATGTGCTTGGCTTTGTATATACTAACGTCTAATGCTGTATTTTCGATTTTAAGTTAATATCATATTGGAGGAAGTGAAGGCATTCATTTATCTTTCGGGTAACTAGATTTAGTTGGCTAAAAAAGCTAAATGAATGCATGCAAGGAAGATTAACATAATAAAAATTTAAAAGTAATTATTACATGAATTTATTGTTCTTCTTGGTTTTGGGATTCGTTTTGCTCATTATATCCTTTTTGGGCGAGGTCGGGGGAATTTAAAATGGACAGTAGCTGTAAATACAAAAGTTAGATGTTAAAAATAAAATGACTAGCACTGATTTTAAGATAACTTTATGACAATTTGGCTGAATTTTGGTTCAAATCATATTTACTAATTTAATAAGATTGCTTTGAAAAAGTCGTTCAAAGTTTGTTTTAATTCGCATACAAATATATATATTTATTTATATCAAATGGCAGGCGTTTCGATGGATATCATTAGCCCTTTTGTTGACTTCAGGCCTAACAGAGGGGAAGGAACATCAAAGCAAAGAAATTTGTGAGGAGGGGGGGGGGGCAGAAGAGTGCTTCAAAGATGTAAAAGAGGCAGACACAAAGGTAGAAAAAAGGTGAGGTGAGTACTGTGGAAGTAGTCGAATATGACATACAGTAGGGTGGTAGTTTGAAGTGAGAAGTCAATTGCCAGTTAATAGACTTTTTTCCGTATTAGTATACGTTGTCCAGGGTGCGCCAAGTGGAGGTAAGTCTATCACACACCCCACAAATGAATAAATAAGAAACGTTTAAAATCTATCAAAGAAGCTGTACATTCTTTTTAGTATTTACGGATTAGGTCAAAAAATTCGGGGAATATTAATATTTTAGAGATCGTGGTGTTACTTTCTTACTGGCTTGTTTGTCACTAGGACTGATATCGATTGGTTTAGAACGATTTAGCTTTTACAATAAATTAATGGTGACTCATTAGTGAGAATACTTGTTACCACCGTCTGATAAATATAAGTTGTCGGTGCAAATGTTTCCCTTAAATTTAAATTGATATTATTACCGGGAGCGTATTATTTAGAGCGATATTAATAATTTAAGTAAATAAAGCATTGGTATAAAAAGTCTTCCAACGATAGAAATGTGTCCCATTTATCTATGAACAAAGTTGGTTTCATAGTGATCCATAATGGAGTATGTATAACTCTTAAACTGCTATTTTGCGTTGGAAATTCTTATTAATATCCAGATATATGAAAATGAAACACGTTAAAAATGATAAATTGCGCAATAATTGATGCCACAAAATGAATAAGTTCAAAGCCCAGTATTTGTCATGTAGTGTTATAAAAAAAAGCTATTCACCCAAATACTCATTTAAATCTGCTAAGGTTTGGTTAGACAATTTTCTGTTATGAGGAAACATTTGTTTCCCCATCACTGTCAGTTCAAACACTGTTGAAAGTTAGTTCTTTATGTGAATGTGATGCCAACTAGAGACTGAATTAGTAGCGCAAAATAAACTTGAAGTTGACCTCAGGGTAAGCTGACTTTTTCCCCCCACGGCAAGATTCTCTTGAAATTTTTATTTCAGTTCGATATTTCCTACACTACAAACTTCAGTCCAAGCAACTTTAGTATGGGGATTAGGAAGAGGGTGGGGGTGGGTTGGGTGGAGGAGGGGGGGGGGAGGGAGAGGGGCTTTAAAAGTGGAGTCAAATGGAAGATGTTAGGATGGCAATCATAATATTTCATTTGAATTCTAAAAGACACGACTTGTCTACCTTCTCACAATTGAAAATAAGTACCTTCAAAGCTTTGTTTTTACCAACTTGCCTTTTTGCATTTTCTAATTGGGTTTATTTGATGCAATTGCTCTTTCATTTAACCATAGTCTGACAAAGTACATTAAAAAACACCGAATTTATTCCAATTTAAATTTGGCGAATTCTTTAAGAGATAAATTAATTTTATGCTTATGGAAATGAGGTGATATCATGCTCTTGAATTGCATAAATCTTTAACAAAATACCACCGCTGGGCCTATCTCAACTTGGTCGGTCTGACCACACGCAAACTATTTCAGATTCGAAATTAGGAACAAATATATGCTCAATGCTTCAGCGACCTCAAAATTAGCTAATTAATGCGAAATTCAATTTGAATTACAGACAAGTTTGCTCAAACGAAGCTACTTTTACCTGGCAATTGAAAAGTTTGAAAAAGTCATTTTTCGCAAAGATTGCCGTAGTGTTTTATTGATTTGTAAGAATATTGCATTTCAGTCATTCAATAAAAGGCCGAAACCAATTTCCAGACGCATCTTTGGATAAATGAAGTCATTAAGTTGACTCAAAACGTATAAGGATAATTCTTGTTCAATTATTGGTTAAAGAGTGAAATTATCTTACACTAATTTTATTTGTAATATACATTCGACACAATGAATCACGATTCAGTTAGAAGTACTTTAATGCCAACACTACTGCGCATATTTTTAAGCTAATTACAAATATTTTGGCATCAAAGTAAATTAAAATCCACCACCTTTGTTTCAGTTCGTTCCCAATCAGTGAAAGCACCAGCTCAAAGGAAACGCTCTCAAGGACAACCTCCACCACGACCGATTCACAGACCTCGTCTCATCGATGAACGCAAGTCCCGTGAGCAGACGACCGTACCATCTTCCTCTACCTCATCACACTCCCAAGGTGGAGAGGATGGTAAGATCTCTCCCTTCTCACAACCTCTTCCTGTAAACACCTCAAGTCTTCGTCAAGATGTCTTTCGTGTCACCATCTGTGTCTTCCACTCCAGTCTCCTCTTAGTTTCCTACATAGCTTGGACTACTTTTCTAATTCTCCTCCTACCTGCCTTCTGCATATCCTACTGCATTCGACAAATCGGCCTCCTTCTTGCCCAACATCGACGATCTAGCCTAGTTGAAACCTTGTCTTCCCTCTCACTACATTACCTTCATGGTGAAGATGCAGGAAGGAACATTGTGGTAGTCATCTATCTTGGTGCCCCTGGGATTAAGATTGCTGCATTGAAGAAACTTCTGGTCAAGCGTATTTTCTCCACTCC